TTCCCTCCCACTATTGAATTTGTGCAACATGCTTCCTTATCGCAATTACTGTGACAAGTCGTCACATCACCCACACAATAAGCTCTGATAAATTTCACTTCATCAACATTATTAGCCGTATTGCTCTACTGCTCTTTCAGAAGAGTTAGAGACAATTTCATTAAAACTGGGTAAAATTTGTTGGCTAAAGAAAGACTTTTTTTAAACCAGAACACAGGCTCAGACAAATAAAACTACTAGCAAAGTTTTGTTATATTTTAGCAGGTAGATCTCACTAAAAAGTAAACTTTTAAAGACTCAGAGTATTTCCACATTTCTTTAACAAAAGACTTCGAGGTACTGTAAAAACTATAAAGTTTTAAAAGTCCACGCTCTTCATGCAAAATATTTGAAAAATTCATTTCTATGAATTTCTTTTGTTCAAGAAACAACAACAAAAAATGAGTTATTCACGGTGCCTAAGAACTGATTTGAATAACAAAAAATGTATCTACTTTTACTATTTTAAGCAGAGTTGTCATTTGCTATTATAATATGCATCATGAGGTGGTGTAGTAGCTCAGGATATTTCCCAACACAGGGTAGGACATATCGCTGAAGAACAAACTTTGATTTTTTTTTTTTTTCTTTTTTAATGCACAACCTAGAATACAATTCGCTCTGTGGACTCCATTTTTAATCATGTAAGTGTAAGACATTATTTAAAGTAAATGGATCTAGATTATAAATCCATAGTCATGCATGAGAAGCAGTTATACTGTTTTACACTGCATGTTGTAAACTACCTTGCTTTTTAAAAGAGACTTTTTGGACAAAAGTCTCTAAACATTGCAACGTGAAATAGTGTATTCCCACACCTTACACCATACATTTGGAAGACTGGACATTCAAATAGACACATGAGCTTCAACACCTGCCCAGCACTGCAAGCCCTCAGCAATTTGAGATGTAATTCTGCCTTCTCATCTTCAAACATAAACGAAAAAAAGATACCCTCAAACAGATGTGCCTCCATCATAATTTAACCTTTCTACTTATTGCTTAGCACTCACCATCAGCCAAAATTTAGTTTGTATAAACTATATTCACACCTGCAAAAATCCCTAAACAGCTTGTATTTCAAAATACTGAAAAGCAATGCTACCTATGGATTATATACATACTGAAGTAGAAAAACAAGGTCAATCTGAAATCTCAGCATGAAACTACCCGTTTTTGAGAAGTTTCACGTACTAAACTTCTCCAGACATTTTTTGCGCTTTTATAAAAAATTTCCAATTTTTAGCAGTTTTGAAGCTGCTTTAGCTCTTAACTGTTCACACTAGAATACAAAGATTTACAATGATCAGAATGAAAACATGCAGATAAAATTAGGTTTCTCATCCATGTAGAACTTTATATATCCTCATAATCTCCTCTGCAGTCTGTTTTTACAACTTTCCCCATTCACTCTTGCCAGACTCCGCTGTTCTCTGCAGTCCCTGCCCCTTCTTTTCCTATTGCCCATGGATGGAACATCCTTCTGTTCTTATTTCCACCAGATATGCATACACATGCTTTTCTACAGTCCCATGTCTCCATGGGAAGCTATGTAATTGCATCGTATAATACAAAATCTTATGCTGTACACAGTTGAAGTCAATTACGTAGCTGGGATTCTGGCACAATAAAGGAGCTTGGAACTGCGCCCTTCAAAAGCCACGTGCTCTGCAGCCAATCCCAAGCTATTGCTGCTAACCCTGAGGGGACCTTGAGCTTCTCATTGCCACACTTTCAACACAACTTTGGAGAGCACAGGTACTGAAAAGACAATTGCTCCCGGCCAGAAGCTCCAAGTCTCAGACTACTAGCTCCCCAGGCTCCAGAAATATAAAGTTTTTCTGCTGTACTCTAAGTGGAGCAGATCAATGACAAACCTTGCTGCAACACAGAACAGCAGAGAAAACAATGGAGGACACGAGTACAAACAGGGTTTTTCCCCACCTTTTAACATCGACATGAAATTTTAAGACCCATTTTCTGTTTCTCTCTTCTCAAAGCAACTGCCTACTAATTGAGGTTTGCATTCCCATTAGATACACACGGTAAATTCAATCTGTCAGTCTTCTCCCCCTTGAGAAAAGTAGTGCTTCACTGGCTACAACCACTCCTCTGCAACCATGATGCCTAACCCTTCTACCAACATTTCCTTCATGCTTCATCTTTACCACCACCGTGGCTTTGCTGCTTGCCCTGCAGCAAAGGGCTAAAACAGACTTAAGCCCAAATGCCCCTACACAACGTAGCGTTAGTTTGCCTGCATCACGCTGTCCGTGACTCCCCATTTCAGTAATGCACAGATGTCCAAACATCAAGTAGTGCAACACTAGTATTGGCATGGAAAGGCTCGGTTATGAGCTTCACATTGGCCCTTACACAGCAGAACTTTAGTGAACTGAAAGAAACTCTTAAGGTGCCACGAATTGTAGTTATATATCTATTGTCAATTTACCCATTTCACTCATTTATAAACACGTCAGAAAGAACATAACCCTCACAGAAAGACTAAGGTAACGATCTCTGAGGAATCAAAAGCACCACACAAGTGCAAAACAGTAATAGCAGCAGTGTTGTAGTTTTGACCGCTGTAGTAATTTCCATCTAAACCCGATCCTAAGGGACATCAAGCAGATTCCTCCCAGATTAGCATTATCGTTCATTATGATCCCAAGGATAACCTGCTACTTCTGTATGAGATATGCTCAAATCCAGCTGTACCTGTCCCCTCTTAAGGAGCTGAAGAAAATTCAGAAATAAAGTAACAATGAAGTTTAACGCACAAGTTGAGAAATATAAACTATCCCAACATAAAAATTAAGAATTTACACTTTCTGATCATAGTGGTTACATCTTCATATTCTGTACCGAGGGAATTTGTTTGCATTAAGTATCAATCATTTTAATGAAGATCACTAATTTTACCAGTAGAAACTTTCCTCACATGAAAATTAAAAGGTTGTGTTTGTTTGCTTTTAAAATACATTTAATGATTATTTTTGCTCCTCCTCCACAGATTATAACATAATCAAGCAGAGTACATAGCACAGCAGTGGGTGAAGAGAATAAAACATCTCCGAGTCACTCTCCTGGAGGGCCACTACACCTACTTTGTGAAATAAATATTTGATCCAATCTCAATCCATATTTGGAGTACCTGCTTCTAACATTTTCCAAAATTTAAAATAAAGCATCCAAAATACTGAAAAAGTGACTAGTAAAAAATAATTTTACCTGTAAATTGTTTTCTGTGACTCTGTTCCACCAAACCATATTGATGGGTACTCCTGTTTTACACCTGTCAGCCAGACAGCCGATAGGGTTCTTTGATTTTCTTGCTTTTGATCCCACCGGAACTATCCTCTCATCCAGCATCCCCAGTCGATACTTCCTGGGCTACGAAAAAGAAGGAGAGAAACCAGGCCACTCCTAACAACCCTCATCTAAAGCTACACTAAAATAGGTATTACACTGTGATATGATTTCTGGATTGGTGGAATAGGAAACAATTTGCAAGTAAAATTTATCTGAGACTGTTTCCATTCAATCCTGACTATTTGGTCATAATAAACAAATCTTTAAAAAAATGAAAATAAACTTCAGGGACTACTAATAATTTGTAAGCAAAACTTTCCATCACAAGTCAGCCACTGAAATATGAGTGTAAATTAAGGAATTCTGTAAAAATGTTTTAAAAATCCATATTTCTCAAATAGATACCTTCAATCACATCATAATACTGAACTCTAACACTTCCCTTGAAATTTCTGTCAAACAAGAAGTTAACATTGGCTTTTGTGTACTTCTTTTTACGTTCTAATTTGCTAAGACTCATCTCCTGAAGACTTGCTTTTAAAAACCAGATAGAACTGCATAGCCAGTTGCAGCAGAACTCAATAAGAAAAGCATTTCTGCTCAAGTTAACATTCAAAGGACTAACTTCAGCTGCTGTCTTAAGTGAAGACAGATAAGAATTACCATGATAAACGCATTGGAAACTGACTTAAACTTGAAAAAATAAAACATGCTTGAAGAAGCGAACATGCATGAGGAGGTACTTGTGCCTCAATAGGAGTGACATTTCTATTACATCAACAATGATCTCTACATATGAAACTATTTATAAAGCATGATATGAACATTAAATTAAAAAAAACACTGGGGGGGGGAAATAAATCTGTTAAAGATTTTCCAGTAAGTAAAGTACAGAAGTTCTCCAAATTTCTGTGTGCTTTCAAACCAGCATGTACCTACCTAGATGGTAAATACCACCAAAAGAAATACTTCATCATGTATGCACATATGTAGACCAGGACCTTTTATACCAATTATACCAACAATTGGACCAAACTGCAGGGGTTGGTCTGTTTTTCTTTTGCTGTGGTTTTTTTTGATGTGAAAATGCAACTATCATCATCTGGATATAGACCACTTTATAATTAATTAAAACTTACCTTTATTCAGATATTTACTTCAGCTGGTAGATTATAAATCTTAGCAATGTATACCTTTACATGCATTTTAAAAATTGTTCCTCAGGAAACAAAGTGAGAATCTACTTGGAGAAGATTCCCCACTCGCACACAAACAATTTGTAAAACACAGGACAAAACTACCATAAAATGGCTGCAAAAACCAAAACCTAAACAGATATCCTCATCTACTTCCCTGAAAACTTTTAGGCTGAAAGCTTTGGAAATAATTAAAACTGAGAAGAGTCACTAGTAGCTCATTTGCCTAAAACAAAAAACACAACAACAACAACAACACAACCCACACCACACCAAGGATACCAACATTGACTATGAACTACAAAGGCAATAAACTCCATTAAGATCAAGTTGACCAACTTTGATAATAATAAACAAGACTGAATTTTGCTGTACCAATTAGAAATTTGGTAAACGGTGTGACAGGTAGGCACAAAGTCCTCCTATGGTTCAAAAGCAAACTTGATCACAGTAAATCTAAATATTGGTTATTTATTGAGAGAATCATTCAACTATTGGGCAACCTACCATCTCAGTAATTCAGAAGGACTACTAATATCATAAACTGTAAAGCTGTAAGGTCTGAGAAGCCAGACATACACATAACATTGGGCTTTAGGGCAGGGTTTGAATGCAGTATGTGTTTTTCTTAGCCTGGCTATTGGACATAATAGCATAACGAAGAGTAACAGTTTCCTTGGCAGCTTCCCCATCTCTCTCCATGTTCTACCAAGTGCAGGGACACAGTCTGCCTCAGACTACTGGACTACAACCCAGTGTCCAAACACATTCCTATTCATAAAAGGTTCTTTTAATCCTACATAATAAAAGGTGATCTATAAATATTTTGAAAAGCAGAACCAAAACAGAAGAGAAACCGAGCCAATGTGGAGAGAGGCTGTTTCAGTTACAACAGGATTCAGATTCCAGGCAACAGAATGAAATGGTATTTTAGGCTTTATGAAGGACCATACTAGGGGGCAGGGGAGAGGAACAATGGTCAATTTTACACCATAAAGCAACACAGAGACAATAAGAATTTGCATACTAGGAGTTCTTGGCTTACTTGTATGAAAAAAATTACACTAAAAAGTGGATGAGACTAAATGAAATTTTTAATTTCATTATCACTATATTATATATATATTATATATTATTTTGCTATGAAACATCACCAGGAGATTACTAGGCCAAGATTTCATTGTTCAGATAGACACTGGAAGGTGGACAATACAATATTAACATTTGGAAATAAATTTCAGCATATTTGCATCAGAATAATTCTAAATTACACTTCTTTTCAATGAGCAAAATGGCATCTGATTCAGAAATCTAATCTGAGTTTACAAGAGACCAGAAAACACAGAGAAGTGTCTGCCAAGAGGAGAGATTCAATAGAAAGGAAAGCTCAAATAGACTGAGTAGTTTGAATAAGCCTATCAACTTTGCTACATCCCTGCCCTCTACACAGAGCAGCAAATAAAGCAACAGACACAGAACTGTGCATCTTGAAACAACCAAGAACTCAGCATTCCCTGATCATTCCTGAACTGAACTAATGTATCTACCTAAAACACAAAGGCATGACAATATGGACAAACAAACCCAATTTCTTTGCATGGCAACAATTTCTCTTGGATGATTACAAAAGCAATTGCATTTTTGCCTTCCCTAAAGCCTTTCTATGAGGTAAAAAAACCCTGTTCAGCCATACAGATGAGGGGATAGTTCAACATACTGAACTTTTTTTTTTTTTGAGAGGGGAGAAGGTGCCTAAAACATTGAAATATTTCATAATCCTTTAGCAAGTATTTCTCAAACTAGGTTGCAACTCCCAATATGGTTACATGTTCCAAATGAATTATGAAAGGTCAAAAACATCACAATTATTTTTAAATGGAAAAATAAGGTTAAACTACAATAATTAAAATGAAATCTAAGGGAAAGAAAGAAAAAAAACAACAAAACCAAATTATTACAAAGCATTACTGGAAGAGTTCAGTTCCTCTGGGGCAGAGAAGTGAGAAGCAGTAGTAATTACTGGCTGCAAATGTTTACATGAGGCAGGGAACAGCTAACTACCTTTAATTGCTAGCAACAGCTTGGCTCCCCAGGGTGAGAAGGGTAAGCATTTTCAACCATAGCTAATAATTATAGCCCTTGCCCTGTAGTGCCCTGTAGAATCAAGCTGCTGCCAGCAATTAATGATAGGAAACTATTGGTTGGCACGATTAGAGGGAAGGTGTTACATTACAAAAGATAAACCCCCAAAGTCTGAGAAACATTACACTTGAACAAAATAAATCCACTCTATAAAGGAAAAAGGTCCTTCCTGAGTAGCATCTTCACATCAGAACATTACTACAGATGAGTAACTTAATTAGCCCACATTAGAAAATGTTCCTCAAGTCAGCTTCATTACTTACTCCCCATTCATTCAACAAGAAGTTTGGGAACATGTTTAGCAAGTCCATTTTCTTCCTTCTGTTTGCTGTAACAGTGTCTTTGCCCCTAGTTCCTCCTGTTTCATGGACAGCGGGCGATGCCACACTTCCTCTTTCCAATTCAGGGTTGGACATACCACTGGTGGAAAATGTTCTAAGGCTATCCTAGAGGATTAAATCTAAACAAGAAAAGGTTTACGAAGACTCGAACTGTAAAGACTCCTCCTGTCTAATAACTTCCATGTAATATTTAAGTCTGGATAAGCTGGTAAATCGAACTACACAATTCCAAAGTTTTCTTCCACTGAAGATCTGCAATTGGATTTTTTTCTGGATCACTCATGTCCCAAATTACATTTCTGTTCCTTAAAATGCACTTACCTCTGGTGGGCTTTGAATTTAAGATTTACAAGACATTTTCTGTACCAAGAAATGCACAATTAAGTTTGACATACAAACACATGAGCAGGCTATTGTGCTTTAAAGTATTGTGAGTAATCTGAGCTACAGTAATGCTCTCTATGTGCATATACTACTGAAGCAAATACAAGTGATCTTAAGCCTTCCCCATCACAGGCTAAATTAAGCAGCATTACCTTAAATTACCATAGCTAAAAGGTATCACAGTAGCATTAGCTAGGGCTCATCTGTTGTACAGTGAGTTGACCATATCTGCATGTACAAACAGATAAAAATAAATATCACATTGTCAGATAGGAAAGCTCAGGTATACAGCATCATATTTTCCTTGTACTACTTATAACAAAATTAAGCAATATATGCAATTTTAAGTTCCGACATTGACTTGTTTTGTAAGACTTCAGTTTTTTAACAGAAGGTAATGGCAAAGACACCATTAGAAAAAGAGGTTAAACACTCAGCTAGGGTGCTAGTCTACTGAAAAAGAACCAACTTTTGTTGTATTCTGTCTTGAAGACAAAAAGCTAACTACATGCCATTGGTATCATCATTGCTATTTTCACCCAACAGCCATAACCAATTAGCTGGAATAAGACAATACTTGAAACCCAGCTATGGAAATGAACTTCAATATGTTACTGAGGAAAAGCACAATAGTCTGGGCAGAATCCCTATACAGGCACAATCAGCCAAGAAGTATCTTAATTGTGAATACAACTGTGTAACTGGATTTAGTAATAAGTTCTACAAGGTGTTACACCTGAACATTAGGTATAGCCACCAGGAGTATCCTAACAGATTTGCAAGCTGGTAATATGAAAAAGAGAAGTTGTCTTGTCATTACTTTTTAAGCTTTGTGGCCAATAGAGCTACAAACCCCTTCACATGGTTTGGGTTTGTTGCTAACCAAGGTACTCTCTCCTCTTCCTCTTTCATTACAACCTTTCACTGGTAGTGAGGCAGACAATACTTGCTTTCTGTATCTCAACTTGTGAAGGTTGGAACCAATTTTTTTACTTTCATATCCACAAAAAAATGGAAT